ATAACATATTTCTAAAAAATGAATGGATCTATTTTTAATCTGTTATTATTAGAAGATACTCATATTTGAAATAGATGCAACGATTTTTAATTATTAAGCAGTATATACAGGGTGCGATGGATAAATTGTCATCTAAATTATGCAAAAATGAAAATAACACTGAAATGTCATTTTAACAGATATATTTACCAAAATTACAACAAGATATCTTGAAATACTAAAGAGTAAATTTATTCAATAAAATCACCACTGGCTTCAACAATGGCCTCTAGACAACTTCAGAATCTCCTGCAACTCTTCTGGACGGTCTCTTGGATTAAGTTAGTGAATGCTGCCATAATCCTTGCCTTTGGTTCATCTTTGGTGTTACAAGGAGTTTTGTTCCTCTCTTGCTCAACTGTGCCCCACACATAATAATGAAGGGGGTTGCAGTCTGGGGAGTTAGGTGACCAAATGTAAGGGGTGATGTGGTCAGAGAAATGGTCTGACAGACATAACTAGGTCCTCCTGCTTGTGTGGCATGGTGCAGAGTCCTGTTGTCAGACATAATGTCTTCCAGTAGCCACCCTCTTGACCCAGAATAGCACTACCTCCTCAAAGCACTTGATGTAGGCCCTCACCAATAAATTTGGGAGTTCTTTTCTTATCAGGACAATCAGTGTGAGTTTTCCAAGCTGCCGTACAGCATGTCGTTTTCAAATTTATGGTGGAGTGAATTATGTCATAGTGTTCTTTTTCTTACACATGGTGCCAAACTGACCCTACTGTACTATGTAGTTGACAAAATCAAAAACAAACAATACACATGTGCAAAATTAAAATTATATACAATTTACCCATTGCACCCTTCATTACATCTATCTATTTGGTCTGCAAATTAGAAAAATCTTAGTAAAGAAAAATACATTCCCTCGCTGGAATTGAACCTTCATACCTCTTTGTCTACTGCTTGATTTAGTGTGCTTTATTGCTTGGCCACAAAGAACATTGCAGCATGCAAGTTTTTATTTTACTCCCCTTCTCAAAAATATCTGCTGAGTTTCTTATCTGAAATCTAAACAATACAATTTCTAAAGAATTAATAGATTTATTTTTAATCCAATATTTTTATTACTTCGAACATTATTATCATGGATACTCCATATTTGGAATAGATGCTCCATTTTTATTTATTAAAACAATCTGTACTAGATCTTTCTATCAGCTTGCCTTGTGCATTCTTGAAACTGTAGTAAAGAGTAATGAAAAAATACAAATAAACAATTATTATTATTTATTTTACTTACAGTATTTATATTCAGACCATTGCTCTTATTTCTGTTGTTATCACAATGTTTCAGCCCTTGTACCTTCCGACCTTCATCAAGTATATATCGATCTGCATAACTTACAGGGGATTTTAAACTGAACCTGTTATTTAATCTATAGCTGGTAGACAGTTCATGTTCCACTTCCCATGTCTAGGGATAACTCTTCTAGTTTTTATTTTTAGTACAGCTCACCTCGTTTAGACTGAGTTCAAGTACACAATACCCAGCCCAGGGACTGAACTCACAATTATTGTCACCAAATTCATGAACCAACGTTTTAATACCCTAATGGATTTAGTGTTGATGAAGGCACAACTGCTGAAACATTGTGATAACAACAACAAAGATGAGGACAATAGTCTGAATGTAAATAGTCTAAATAAAGCTAACTTCTCATCACAGAAAATCAGACAGAAATTATTTATTTGTTTCATTTTCAGAAATTTTTTTCTATTTTGTATTGAGCATATTTAAATCTGTAAGTATTTGTCTTGTTCAGGGTAGATTTTGACCCGTTACTGAGCTACCAAAATAGTTACATTTCATCATTGCTGATCAGACACTGAATTATTACTAGTCACAATGAATAGTTATCACCTCGAGGAGAATCTATGCCTTGAGAGAGTATTGGGTCTTAAACTTACAACTGATCTAAAATGGAATTCGTACATATGATCACTCGCTAAAGATGCAGGTAAAATAGTTGCCTCCCTGTACCACTCCAGTAAGCACCTGACTCCTTATGCTATCCTCTACCTTTACAAGAGCCAGATTAGACTGAAAATTTAGTACTGCTACCATATTTGAACCGAAGCTGCCCAATCCCCTCACTTTCCAGTCTTGATAGAGTTCAAAAATGTCTCCGAGTCATTGTTGGTGACAATTTATTTTTAGCCCTCCAACCTCTCTTTCATGGGTAGGACATGATGAGCCTCTCACTGCTCTATCACAACCTCCATGGAAAATGCCTGAACAAACAACAGTCCTTGGTTCCACCATGCTTAACCTTCATGGCTAGGACCCACCATGCCACTCACATTGTAGAAAACCACCCACATTCCCTTTCTATTCCATTGGTGAGAAGTTCTATTCAAACAGCTTCGCCCCATGAACCACTGTTATGTGGAACAGACTCCCAAGAGGATGTTTCCTCAATTGCTACAATCTTAACCTGTTCAAGTCTAGAGTTAATCATTATCTTCCCCTTCTAACTGTATAAGCTGCCTCAATGTAAAGCTCGACATTAAGTGGCCTCTGGTCCTTGTACAGGGTAAACCGCACTATAAAAGAAAAAAAAGTGATTGTAAATTTTACACACACACACACACACATGTATGTGTCTGTTTGTGTGTGTGTGTGTAAAGTTTGTATGAGAATTCAAAAGAATTCTTCTTCTATGTGCTGTGTTTCCTTCAGGACATGGACTCTCCACAACTTCCTGTCCTTTGCAACCTTTAGTAAGTTTTGTATTTCTGCTATCTCTCCTACTCCCTGTTCTGCCATCCATTTACACATTATAGCATTACGTAGGTTATGCATTGCTTTCCTCTGCCTTCTATGTCCTGTGAGTATCAAATTTTCTAAGCCCTCTTTCCTCATTATGTACCCTAGAAATTTCAACTCTCTTTCTGATGCTAAATATAAGTGCCTTTTTTGTATCCATTTTCTCTAAAACTTCATCATTGTTCACATGTTCAGTCCATGATATTCTCAGCATCCTTCTGTAGAAGCACATTTCTGTTGCCTTAAGTCTCTTCCCCATTTGTGATGAGATGGTCCAGCATTCATTGCCATGTAAGATGACAGACATTAGATAATAGTTCAGTACTCTTTTCTTTGTTTCCAATTAAATTTTCCTGTTTCTTAATACTCTGCTTAGCTTTTGGAAGGTATATGTGAAACTATTTGGGAAACTTCTATTTTAACATGGTTAATAAATAAATAAACTGAATCAGAAAGAGAAGTTTACATCAACAATATCTACATTCTTCTTTTATCTTCTATGATCTATGTCTCTTCAGGATATAAACAGTCATGTTTCATCCACAGTTTCCTGCTCTAAGCAATGTTTGTCTTTTTGCTATCTCTGTTATGAGACAAATCATACATTAGCATATGAATACAAGATTTTTACTTTAAGTGTATCATTATAGAAATTAGATGATAACTTATGTTGATTTAGTAAATGAATATATAAATAGGTAAAAATGTAAAATTGAATGCAAATTATCATCTAAATCTAATAATGATATAATTAAAGTAAAATTCAAGCATTTAAGCACACACACACACACACACACACACACACACAACCACACATATATACATGTGTTATGCTCTCATCATTTCAGTTGAGCACTATTGAGAAAAAGGTAATATATATATATATATATATATATATATATTATTATTATTATTATTATTAAATCAACAGCCATTTTGTGTCAGTTGATGTCAATGATCAACTTCTTTTCTAAATTACAAATAGTCCTTCTCGGATAAGGAGGAAATTCTATCAGAAATTGTCTAAAGTATGGTTTGTTAATTTTAACCTTTCCAAAACAAAACTGCTTTCTATTACTCATCTGAGGGAACCGTTTCTACCTCCCATCAGCATAAATGATGCTAACCTCAAGGAGAGTGACTCATTGTACCTTCTCAGTCTATTATCTACTGATATGAAGTGGAAAGAGCATACTGAATCCATTGCTAGGTCTGCTGCTAGGAAAGTTGGTTCACTATGTCATGTTAGACAATTTTTCTCGACAGAATCTATCTTACATATTTATAAGTCTACTATTCATCCTTTATTTGAACACTGTTGCTACACCTGGTCTGGTGCTCCTGCTATATACTGAGAGATTCTTGGTAAAATCCAAAGAAGAATCTGCAATGCTAGTGGTCCTGACTTGGCATCCTAGCTTCAGTCTCTTTTCCATTGCCCTAATGTAGCTTCCCTGTGCCTTTTTTTTTTTTTATAAATACCTTCATGGTTAGTTGATCAACTTTACTCTATAATACCTACACTTCGTGAATTTAAGTGCATTACTAGATTGGCAGCTAGGTCTCATCATTTTACAACTGAATTGGCTAGAGTTCTATATTGACACTTTCTTTTCTCACACTTTTTGCTTGTGGAACTCTCTTCCAGCTTTTTTTCTTTCCAGCTAACTTTAATCTTCAAAAATCTAAATGCAATGCCTCTCATTATTTATTTACATCTTGATTCCTCTTTTTTCATTGTTCTCGTTCCTTAATAATGTTTTTCTTTTTCTTATTCATTCACACCCAGTAACACCTTGTATCTCAGTGGCTTTATTGGCTTGCTTGGTGTGAAATGATTAAAAAAAATTAGGCCTATTTAATGATTTACAAGGACTAAAGAAAGTAATTTATTAATTTGAATAATAATAACCTTATTTGTATCGAATTTTCTTTCTTTCGGATTTAAAAAATTAGTAAATAAATTCTTGTTATTCTGCAAAGAAATATTGTCTTCCTGGTGATTTCAAACATGAGAAAATATAGATAAGTAAGTAAATATTTATTAAAATCCCATGTACAAATCCATAATTGACTTCTTTTTACTCCTACGGCTTTTCCTTTCAACACACCATCTTTCTCCAGTCCCCAATTATATAACTCAATATTCAATTTGCTTGATTTTATATATAAAATCTAATTCGGCTAATGGAAACATATTTCCCATTGCTTTTCTTCATCTCCTTCCTTTCCTTCTTTAGAAATCTTTGCATCCTTCAACAGTTTATTGGAGTGGAAAATATCCATTCTTACTGTGCAATCAATGTAAGCGCTTAAGTTGCCAACATATGGATACAAAACATATGAATGATATCAGACAGACAGTCAGGCAGGCAGTCAATAATCCACTAGACATTTTTGGAGGAAAGTTTTGATTGATCTCCTTAGCTTGCAGGTCATATGACCAGTGCTAACAGCATTGTTGGGATAAAATTAAGTAGGTATACTCCTCTCTTGCTGCCACAAATAGAATCTGCAACTTTGCAGCAACTATCACCTGGATTAGTATTTAGGTATCTCTTCTTATTAGTTATATTCAATAATGAGGATTTTTTTGTCCTGTGTTATGGCTTTTTTTGCTTCCCTTTTCTTTTGTGATCTAAATACCTTTATAGATTTAAATACTCTTTATTTATTCTCTCTTCTCTCTCTCTCTCTCTATTTCATGGCAAGGGATTTTATCATTTTTCTTTTTTTTTCTTTTTTATTCCTTTTTCTATTATGGCAGGGATTTTTTATCATTCTTCTTTTTTTTTATATTCAATGAGAGGCTTCTTTTTTCTGCTTTTTTATTCCCATTCTCTTTATAATCTTTCTTTTTTTATTCTTTTTTAAAGCAGGGGATTGTACCAGTTTTTTCGGGGTGGGGGTGTATGTTTTTATTAGTTTTTTTTTATTATTATGGCAGGGATTTCTCTCTGTTTTCTTTTTTTCTGTCCCAATTTATGGCTTTTTTTTGCTTCCCATTCTCTTTGCAGTCTTTGATTCCTTCTCTCTCTCTCTCTCTTTCTTTTATGACAGAGAATTGTATCAGTTTTTTTGGTGGGGTGGGGAGTTCTGTTTTTTTATTATTATTTTTTTATTATGGCAGAGATTTCTTACTTTTTTATGTTTAATCATCAGACTTCTTTTTTTCTGTCCCAATTTATGGCCTTTTTTGCTTCCCATTCTCTTTGTAATCTTTCTCTCTCTCTTTCTCACCCTGTCTCTTTCTCATTCTCTCTCTCACGCTCGCTCACTCTCTCTCTCTCTCTCTCTCTATTATGACATTTACTTTCTTTGCACTCTACATTTTTTTTTCTTGCTCTTTTTCTTTTTTATTGCAGGAGTTTATAATTTTTCTTCCTTTTCTTTTTCTTTCTTTTCTTATCATTTTTTTTATTATAAATTTGTCTTTTTTTAGACATTTACACCCATTTTGTTTTCTTTTTTATTCTCTTATTTATTTTATAACAGAAATTTATATTATTTTTTCCATTTATTTTTAAATATTACTTTCATATTTATTGTTTCTTTTTATGTCAACAGACTGTTTCTTTTTTAGATATTCCTCTCTCTCACTCTGTCTTTGTCTCTCTCTTTGTAATATATATTACTTTTCTCTCTTTTCTCTCTCTTTTTATCTATATTTCTTACTATTTCTTTTTCTAGAAGATGTTTTATTTTGCATGCTTATTTTGAGTTATTTCCCCCTCTTCTATCTCTTTTGCTCTTTCTTTTTTTCTTTCATTTTTTAAAAAAAATTTTAATATATTTACTCCCTTTTCTTTCTTTTTCATAACAAGGATTTTCATTTTTTTTTCTTTTCTTTTCTTATTATATATTCCTTTCTTTTTCATTTTGTTGTTCTCCATCACAATTTTCCTTTTTTCTTTTACCAATCAATGGATTTTACTTATCCCAGTAATTACTCTTATTAATGTTTCTGTGAAGTTATTAAATAAGCACTCTGACCAGAAATAGTCTTTTTTCTTTTTCAAAGATCTTTTCATATTAACCTGGATTAAGCACTCTAGATCATGAATGTATAAAAAAAAAATTATTAAATTTTATAAAAATACAATGACAGGGGGTCCAGTTTGCTATGTAAATTAATTGTAAATTGATCACCAAAACAAAATAATAAATGATTTCTTAAAATGTAAAAACTTCCTGGGTATGATAATAAACTACATCCAGCAGCAAGGCCTCTGGTCAGGAGGTTTTGAAGAGCATAGAACCACCTCTTAATGTTGTTCTCAGGTCCACCCTGATCTGGGGTGGTAGCACCTGTGAGGGTCCAAGCTAGGAGCAAATAGTGAACCCCAAACAAAAATAAAACACTATGAAAGTACAAAAATACATTTTTATATAAAAAAATTACCAAAAATACCTACTTATAGTAGAATTACCAACAATACCTATTTATAGTATATAAGATGCCATAAAATTGTGTTCAAAATTTTTAGATTTTGGCATTAAATAACCCATAGAAGTTGATATGACACTAAACAAAATCAACCAATCAACAAACCAAAACATAAAAGAAATTTTGAAATTTGTAATCTGGAGTTCTTTTTATATATATATATATATATATATATATATATATATATATATATTATATATATATTTTTAGCTGTCCCCCACGTGGGGTAGCATGTAGGCACAAGGCCGAGTTTAATGTGGGTAATCCAAGCCTAGGCGGGTTCGAGGGGCTATATTTTGGTCATCAACCTCCCCCGAACAAAACCTTACCTCCTTCGCAAAGCTTTCTCTGGTTCCTCCTGCTAATGCAGAGAGTTAGACAGATGGCGGTTGCTGTTGTTTGATAAGTTTGATATATATATATATATATATATATATATATATATATATATATATATATATATATATATACACAATCAACTGGTTACTACAGATTATGAATTTTTAAAAATTTATTAATTTTTTACATTTTAAGAAATCATGTTGTATGAGCATATTTCATTTTGGCTCCTACAGGGGGAGGGGGAAATTTATACATTGGATTCTGGTGTTAACTTTTATAAAATTTAATGATTTTTTTATAAAATTTAATGATTTTTTTTAATAAAATTTAATGATTTTTTTTATAAAATTTCATGATTTTTTTTAATAAAAATAATGACTTTTTTATATTCATGATCTGGAGTTTTTAATCTATAGTAATATGGAAAAGAAATTTTGAAAAAAAGACTAAGAAGTGGTTAGAACATTTGCTTTCCGACCATGTGACCCAGGTTTCATGACTTCTTGATGTTATTAGTCTGGGGGAGGTGAACCCAGTGTGCAGCACCTTTGGAAAGTGCCTGTAAGACTATACCATGGGTTGATCCAAGCCTTGTGAGTGAATTTGGGTAGACAGAACTATTTGAGAGCCATCAGTGGTTGTGCTAGCACAAAATCACAAGTCATCATGACTGAGGGTTTGAGTGGGTTGGCCCTGTTCAGTCTGTTGATCATACCAGATAATACACTCTTTCCCAGAAACTGTAACTAAGGTATAAAGCACAAGTGGGCTCTGTGAGTGTTGAACAAACACAAATGTGCCTGAGCATGTGTCTGCAACAGGCATTGGTGAGCCGCACTTGTAAGACAGGCATCCTCAGATACAAATGGCCAGCCATAAGAAAATAGGTATTTCACCCATTTTCACTTCAAATTTTCTTTTATACACTCTTTCAGAATGTCAAAAACATTCGGTACTGACAAGAAACTTTTACTTTTTCCAGCAAAATACATGTTTTAAGAACTAAAAGTCAAACATTGCAACTGGATGGAATTTTTGAATCTCCATCAAAAAGAAAAAAAGATGCAACAAGCATTTTTCAAAGATGTTATGTGTATGTTGATTAGCCAATAAGACTAATAATGAAAAAAAGCATCTATTTTATACAACAATTATTTATTTAATATTTATTTCATACATAACAGTGGCCTTACCATTAACATATAAAAAAGTGGAAGTCACTTATTAACCAGTTCACACTCCTCCACAGTCTTTTGAACAAGAGTAGAGGTTTATTTCTTGTTTCCTGTTTAGAACTGGGTTTTCTGTTCCTTCTAAAGTCTTCTTCATAGTCTGTACTTCTAATGTCTCTGTTTAAACTCTGACATTTTATTTACGATTTTTTTTTCTTTCCTTAACCAGAGTAGATAAGTTCAGCTATCATCCAGTTCTCACACTTTGTCATTTGAACAGGAGTAGAGGTTTGTGCCTTGTTTCCTGTTTAGGATTGGGTTTGTGGTCACTTCTAAAGTTTTGTATTTATAGTCTGAATTTACTTGTAAAATTAATAAGAGTAGATATATTTGCCTATTGCCTGGTTGACACTACTCCTCGGCCTTTTGAATTGGAATAGAGGCTTATTCCTTGTTTCCTGTTTTGGATTGAATTTCCAGTTCCTTCTAAAGTCTACTTCGACTCAATATTTCTAATGTCTTTGGCTGAAATCTCAAATTTTATTGACTTTTTTTATTTTATTTTTTTTATTTCTTTCATTTTTTCCTCAATAGCAGTGGATTGGTTTGCTTATCATCCGGTCCACACCTCTCTCTGTTTTTTGAACAGGTGTAAAATTTTATCCCTTGGCTCCAGTTTAGGATTGGGTTCCTTCTAAAGTCTACTTCAATTCTATACTTCTGATATCTTCGCCTAAACTTTGAAATTTTATTTACTATTTATTTTTTTTATTTTTTCCTCAATAGCAGTTTGCTTATCATCCAGTCCACACTCCTCTCCGTTCTTTTGAACAGGAGTAAAGGTTTATCCCTTGGCTCCAGTTTAGAATTGTGTTTCTTCTAAAGTCTACTTCAATTCTATATTTCTGACATCTTCGTCTAAACTTTGAAATTTTATTTACTATTTATTTTTACTTTTTATTTTTTTCCTCAATAGGAATAGATAGGTTCACCTATCATCCAGTTTGCTCTCCTGCCAAGTCTTTTGAACGGGAATAAAGATTTATCTCTTGAATTCCTGCTTGGAATTAGGTTTCCATTTCCTTTTAAAGTTGTCTCATTCTCTTTCACTCCTAGTAAACTCTTGTGTCTTAGTGGCAAGATCACTTATCACCTTGCTTGGGGTGAATTGATAAAAAAAAATGTGACAAAACAACAAATGAAGATGGTTGAGATAAGTGAAAGAGTTTTTTTATTTTTCATGATCAACAAGGTTTCACTGTTTGCTCATTCTGGAGCATCATATATCAGTCATGGGAGACTGAGAATTCAATCAGTGTATAACACAATGTAGTAGTCAAGATATACATGTGGAGAAAATCAACATGCATATGTAGATAATGAGATAGACTTGTGGGAGAAATATTCCACAAATTATCACATTCTAGTAGTCAATAATATCTTCTGCTGCTGCCGGTTTCAACACTGGCTGGATCATCACTGTTGAAAGAAGTGGCTTGGTGTTGATGCTGGTGACCTATTTAGGCTCACCTGGTGTGAAGTCCGTTACTAATGTCAGCCTGATCAGATCTGCTTCTTCCTTCTTTTTATGTGCCGTGTCCATTCAGGATGTAGGCGATAATGGCCTGCCACTTCCCCCTATCCCTTGTGGCTCTCAACAGGTTTTGTGTTTCTGCCAACTCCCCCAGACCACGCTCCGCCATCTAACTGCCCAAACCCGCCACATATGTCATGTGCTGCTTTACCCTGTCTCTTTTTCTCTCTATTTCTCCTGTGAGTATCAGATTCTCTAGGCCCTCTTTTCTCATCACATGTCCCAGAAATTTCATCTGCCTCTTCCTTATGTTAAGCATAAGCTTCCTCCTTATTTGCATCCTCTCCAACTCCTCATTGTTGTTCACATGCTTGGTCCATGATATCTTACTTGCAGGTAAAATAAGCATTGACTTTGTAGTGAGCCAGTGCCGTCAAAACCTTGTGGGCCTTTTCTGATTGGTCAGAAAAGGTGTTTTATGACCCTGGTATTTCGGTGGTATTCCAAAAATGGATGAAGTTAGAGTTTGTTTTTGTCATATTAGCTAGGAATAAAAGTGAGCATTTATGTTTAAGTTTAAAAAAATTGAGGTTCTGAGAGGGTACAACACATTGAATTTCAATGTTTAAAATACTAAAATCTAAAATACACTTAAATTGTCCAAATTAATTTCTTGAAATATCATAATTATTGATTTTGAAGAGTTTTTTTTTATCTTTGATTTTAAAACTCAGGTTATTTTATTTTTCCTTTTTTTTCTTTTAAACTGTTTAGTCAGAAGCATTGAACAATTTAATTAACTGCCAACAAGTGTGAGACTTGTATTCCTTGTTTTTGGAAACAAGCATTTTACTGATTAGACTACAGCAACCATTAGAAACCCATCCAAATTTTGTACAATTTTACTCCATATATTATATTACTTTTTTGCACCTAATAATAGTCAATAAAATAGTCTTCGGTTATCTAAATTTCTTAAATAATCATTGTCTATAGTCGTCTAGTAGAAGTGGGACAACATTTTTTTTTATTCAAGAAAAATTTCCAAACCCCTTCCAACCAACCTTTTAATTAATTTTGCACTTGTTGACCCTTTAAATGATTTTCCAATTTCCTATTATTAGGACCATCTATTTTATATAATTTTCCTATTATTAGGACCATCCATTTATTGCATATTGGAAACAATTCCAAC